AAGCACTTGATCAACCTGTTTAGATGTGCGTGCTTTGTGTAGAATACGATTGATTTGGTTTTTGGCTTATGGAGCACTCTGCCAGTGGATCCGGGCTAGGATAACAGAGCTACAGGCTATGAATCAGAATATAGGACGACGATCGTCGCGATCGTCCCCGAGTCATTTTATAGTAAAAGCAATTAACAATTCGAGTTTAATGACTATGCGTAAAACTGGATGGTACGAAAACTTTGTAAAAATCAAAAAAAAAAAAAAAGGAACGAGGTAGAGCTAGAGGATACTATCTCTTCAATCCATCTCCTGACATTCACCCAGATGAACAACCCCATCACTCAAAATCTCCAACTCATACTGACTTGAATCATTCCCCCCGCCAGATGCATCCCCCATCCTTTCCAACACTATCCGATACCCCCAATCCACTTCTACATCAATACCCCCCGTCCTAACTCCTTGTGGCACGTCTGAATATTCTCCCTCGGGGCTCGAGGCCTTCTGCTCCTTTCCTCTTCTCCCGATCATTTTCTCAACGGAGACCCTTAACATCGGCTGCGCTCTGGAGCTGGCCCATATAGTTCGTGCCTTCACGGACACAACCGTCAGTCTCTCCACTTCAAACGGGTAAGCTACAGCATTTGCTCCATCTTTCCAGATACCCTCCACCGTCTTTCTCATCTTCCCAGCAGACTCGGACGCAATTGGCTCAAAAACAGCATCCGCGGATGTCGTCTCAACACTTAGAGTGAAATCACCAATCTGGCCAGGCTCGAATGTCGACGCGACTACAGTATATTCACCTGCTTGTAGGTTTGTGGTTTCAGCTATTGCACAGCCACGTCGATACTCTCCGCTTTCGGTGATGATGTCTCGGGTTGTTACTGATGCGATGCGTTTACCTCCTCCCCAGACAAGTTTAACGTGTACCGACAGGGTCTCGCGAGCTTCGAGAAGAAGAAGAAGATTACAAGGCTTGGAGATTGAGAGTCTGAACTGTGGGTTGTTTGAGTAGGTAGGCGACTGAGCATTCCCCCCTGCTGTTTCGGGGAGCCACTGCGACTGCAAAGTACGGTGGTAAGTGTATGGATCTTCCGCATCGCGTATCTGTAGCGGCGTTAAGGAGAAGGCGGAAAGAGTAAAACTGTATGGTGTCTTTGGTAGATCTTGTGAAGAAACGGCCACAGTATACGTAGTTTTTGGAGGCACTTCATCGAGACGTAATAGAGTCTGAGGGGAGTCAACATAAGGACCTCGATGAAGTGCTCCTTCAGAACGATAGGCTCGACGGCCCTCATTATCGAATACATAAAGCGAAATGTAACCTTTTTTTTCATTCGGGTCGTAATCCTCCCCAGTGATAGTAGAGGTGAGATGTCGTCCAAGTAATAGCCAGATAAGTGCCGATTTCGAGCTAGTATTCGTGACTGAAAACTGAGGGTTTCTACTAATACAGCCTTCCGACCTTTTGGTTGAGAGATCCCAAGAGAAATGTAGATCCTGCCGGTGGGTGAAAAGCGCTGGGTTCCAGTTAAGATATATGCTCGCGAAGTGACGAAAAACACTGTCCAGAGATATCCAGAAAACACCTGGTGAACATGAGTCCGACTTTTGAATTGCTATAGGAAGAGATTCCCGGAGATTTTCTGTTTTAAAAGCAGGCCCTGCCTCGTCTTCGTCGTCGTCACCATCTCCATCCTCATCTTCGCCATCATCAAATTCGTCCTCATCAGAATCTACTCCTGAAACACCCGTATAGGTTGCGCCCTCACTCCATGGATTCTTAACCTGTAGCCACTTCTCTCCATCTTCGTCCTTCAGACCCAAAACGGCATAGTCATGCTCACCCACGAGTCCTAGTTCACTTTCTTCCCGTCTGCTCATGCTCTCCGTACCTAAAGTGATCAACACATCACCACGGTCCCACGCTTTAAGTATCCTTTTCCACAGATTTCCTTGGTTTATATCATTCGACTGCAAGAACACATGTTCCGGAATCCAACCTGTCAATGCAAGAAGATCCGTTCCCGAGTTAGATCCGGGGAAGTCATAGCCACCCATCACTTTCAAGTATGCTTTTTCGATCAGTGCGGGGTAGAATACACTGGGATTATTACGACAGGTTACGTATAGCGAATGTTTGTTATTGGATGCAGGTAAGAGATCGTCGATGATTACCTGCAGAAATTATAAACGACAAATTTTGAATAAAAAAGCCGAATAACTTACCTTTCGGTAACAGCCGTTAAAATATAGTTTTACAAGATATTTGCCAGAAGGACTGGTTTTCGGATTACCATGTATATCTTGTGGGTAGAGAATATTGGACACAAGCTATTATTTCAGTCTGTTAAAAGCTTGAATATTGACGTTTGGTGCGCTCAGGTTAATTAATACCTTTCCAAGGGACCTTTCCTCTCTTGCAATCGCAGAACAGAGACTAGCGACCACCGAACAATCGGTTATTACATCCTGGGCAAGATCAAATACGGACCCAGTTCCCCCTTCAGGATATATCCTTGCACTGCCTTGATATAGTTCGTTCGGGCGCTTCCAGCCTTCCAGCATTGTGAACTGTAAGTCCGAAAGTTCGAGCAAACCGGAGGGGTCTCTCGTAATACCATTAGCCGAAGATAGTGGAGTATAGCTAGAATCAGGAAATCTCACGAGAATGGTATTGGTCCGGAAAATTCGGTCGCACCTGGAAGGTTTTCCCAAGGTGGGAAGATGTCATTGTTTACCTTGGAAGATTTCAGGAGAAGGGTCTGTTCCTTTACTGATAGTTTCGTCATAGATAACGGAGGTGTTTTGATAGCGTCGGTTCTTTTTTGGAGTCCATCCTGAGACTTTGTAGCTTCCATGGCCTGAGAGACTGGAAGAGGAGTTGGGGAGTTGGCCTTCATAGCTCCATCACTACTACCATTCCCACTACCTCTACCTTTTCGTAACGCTTGGATATTCTCTGCTCCTGCGGTAAACTCTTCGCGTTTTTGTTGGAGCTTTTTTTTATCGGCGCTCTTTTGAGCCCGTTTCCCGAGTTTCATGCAATATTCCGCAGCTTCTATTGAAGCTTTCAACGCATCGTCGTACTTCTCGGCCGCGAGGAATGCGCTTATGCGAGATTCGGCTGCCTAAACCCCATTAATTTACAGCTCTACAAAGGGGTTGACACAGGGGAATATATAACTTACAACTATGCTTTCATCATACGGGCATTTTGCAGCTGGTTTTGCTGAAGAAAGTTTCTGTCTGAGCTTTTGCATCGTCGTCAGTGGCACTGCTTCAATGATCGGGGTAGGTATGTAGGAGCGCTTTTGTAGTAACTAGCAATGCACACGCTGATAGGAGATAAATCACATGATCGATACATATAGTTAGTAGTTACCAATAGACTGGCGGTGACACGTGACAGTCGAAGTATACATGTATTTAGAAAGTCCTTAATATTATACTTGGCCATAGACTTATCTACATGTATCGATTTTATAATCAAAAGCTAATAAGACATAAGTGGCTTTCCTAGAATCATCCTTTCATAGTGAATCCCTTCGTTTGTCCCGAAACGCCCCAAGCAGGAAAGGATGAGGCATAGCAGTACTCAAAGTGGAGATAGCAAAACCTTTGATCCTACTATAGTAATACTATCGCCCAGCTTGGTTAAAAATCGAAAACCTTGAAAACAGCGGAAGGGATAACCTCATTCCATAACAATATCTGTGAAATTAATTGTGGTTTAATTATTTTACCCCAGATCAAGATTATGATTACAGTATTTGAAATCTTGGCATTGTAGCACCCTTGTCGGTCAGGTCGCATTCTAAACTTTTTGAGCCTCTTGACATTGCTTAAAGGTGAGACAGCTCGCACCTCCGAAACTACAATCCCCAATATCAACACTCAACAACTTCCAAAAATGTCACGAGGAGGAGGAGCCAGAGGCGGCAGGGGCGGCGTCGGTGGCCGTGGTGGACGAGGAGGCGGCGGTTTCGGCGGTGGAGGTGGCTTTGGCGGTGGTTTCGACGATTTGGTACCCGATTACAGCGTCACTGAACTTTTCCCAGTGAGTCATTTTTTCTTGCGAATTGTCGCCTTTATTCTTCTTTCTCTTATACGTCAGTATTAAAATATAAGGAGTTATAGCCCCAACCGCCGCCAGTACAATCCTCACTTATAAAAGAGGAGCGCGCAATAATCGCCCGATTTCGGAGTCATCGGGAGAAAATTCATAATGGACCTATGTAAGCTTGACATTTGTGCATTTCTGTAATTTCTGGAGATAACTCTAATCTAATTGAGTATAGGTACACAATAATGTCTAAGAAACGAGGCATGGAAGATCCATTTAACGATGTCTCGAAATACTCGCAAAAGTACAAAAAACAGCGACGAAAAGTTCCACAACTTGATGCACGCCCATATATCCACGAGCTGTTCCCATTGGAGCTACATTTGACTCTCGGAATTGACCCCGAGGAAGTCAACGGCAAAAAGAAAGCTATCAAGAAAAAACTACAGTTTAGCGCATTGGATACACTGGATCCATTAGGGGATCTTGCCGATGGTGCGGGATCAGATATAGAAGAAGGTACAGAAGGGGCTGATGCAGAGGGCGCAGAAAAGAAAAAGGGTGGCCTTCTGAGAGGGTTACTGGGCGAGGAGGCAGGCGACGATGAAGACGAGGAACAGGAACCAGAAGAAGAGGAGATTGAAGATGACTTCGGAGATGACGAAGAAGGAGATTATAACGCTGAGCAGTACTTCGACGATGGAGACGATATAGGCGATGATTGGGGAGACGAAGGGGGCGCTGAAGATTATTACTAAGGAATCTTTCCATGTTTGAAACTACTTCAATTTCTGTATGATAGACATCCGAGTCGAAAAACTAAAACAAAAGCCATTATGGCGATAATACTCCGAATAGTCCCTTGCGTTTGATTAATACTTGGCAAAAAAAAAAAAAAAAAAAAGATATCTCGCAGAGATTCGCAGGTGGCCGCCTATTACACTAAGCTTTCAGGCGCGTTTCGGCCATCCTCTGAAAGCATCTCAGACTCATGCTTCACCCCGTCTCCGGCTTCACCTTCAGCTCCCTGGTGATCTTTATTCCCATCCTCACCGGCCTCCTCAGCTCCCCGGCGATCCCTATCTTCTCTCCTCACCCAAACTCTCTCTGGGGGCGCTTCCATACAGAAATTCTCAAACAAGGTTTTGCCCCCATCTCTAACTCTGGTCAACCAAACCGCTCTCTTGAATTCCTCCTTGATCCTATTAACTCCAGGGCCATTACAAGTCCTACTGACGTTGTGTTCAGTCTCGAAGGGGTCCTCTACAGCAAAAAGGTATCGATTCTTGACCCCCGAGTTTTCTGTTCTCCCCGGTTTAATAACAGCTGCAACCCAACCTTTCTCTTGTTTTGTCATCAGCCCTCCCTTTGTCCGGATAGAGACCACCTCACGCCCCCACTGAAAACCGTGGGCGTAGTATTCAAAGAATCCCTTCAATAATTCACCAATATCCATGGTGTTATTCGACTTTGGTAATTTCTCGATGTCCTTATAGAACCATATTTCGAAAGTATCGTCGGAATCACCCTCAAATATTATCTCGTTTGTTGGTGCACTATCAGGGACTGGGAAAGTTTGAAGGTTCGGGAGAACCGGTGGTTTAACAACATTGATCAGGTAATGAAGGACTATCAGTGCGTAACCATATGAAGATAGCGTTCCTCGGTACGGATTATTTATATGGCGTCTTTTAGCCCACCACTATTAAGTTGATTAAAAATACGGAATCTATGTGTCAGCAGTCTGCAAAGGATCATAATTCCGGGAATCCTTTGTTCCCAAGGAGGTTTAAAGCCATACCTTAATGAATATCATCATCTCTTTGACCCTGGGATCACATTTGCTGTATGTCAATAACATTTGGGTATTGTACAAAGCTAAATGATTGCTGAAACCGATGTCGCATTGCAGCTCATACGGGCTCTGTTCAGTAGCTTTCTGCACAAGCTTGAGAATTGGAACACGGGTTTTTGTAAGTAGAGTAGTGCCGAAGCCTTCTTCTTGAAGTTTTGATTCGAGGAGCATAGGTATTCTGAAGTTAGATGATGGATCATCTGAACTTTCATTGAGAATATCGACTCGATCACCGCCTGTGAAGATAACGTCGAGATCGGAATTGGCGGTTGCGAAGCCGGCTGTGAATCAAAGAAAACAATGAAGGTTAAAGCATATTAGATTATATTTCTAGTATCATGTTTAATCAAAGAATGAGCTAAGAGGTACACGTTTAAAGAAACGAGTATCAAAAGGATTTGAAATAAATTCGACTTACTAACTAAACTCCCAAAAGCAATCAATTTTGCGTCTGGAACTATCGTTTTACTGATAGCTTCAAGTCTCTCTAGAAGTGCATGCTTCACCAACATTTCTGACTCTGGGGGAGCTGCTTCGGCTATTACTTTTTTTGAAAGCTCACTCAAATACTGGCATACCTCTGGCCCAATGTCTCGCTGTAGTTGGCGCTGGTTATAATAATCACGAAAATTTCTTCGTCCATGTGCTTCACCCCTAGCGTGATGGGGGTTAGTATTGCGGGTGTCAATTGGCAGTGGCTGATACTGAGTACGCTGCTGGGGTTTTGCTGTTGTTGATTGTTGCTGCTGAGAATAATTGGGTGGAGGCGTTTTTACTTTAGTAGGTTGGGTTCCCAGAGGTGGAAAGTGGTCTAGCGCATTCAAGGGTAGAGCTCTGGGTGCGTTCTGTGATTTGTTAAAACCCTGCTCACGCTGTCCACGAGGCGGACTTCGAATATTCCGCCCCGCGGTCATTTGGGGGGGGTGGTTTCGTTGTCTCGGCGGGGTATTTTGCTGTGGTGGTCGGGTTTGCGGTCTGTATTGCTGCCCCATCTGAGGCGGTATATTCCCTAAATCACCTGAGGTATTTGACGAGATGTTCATATTTAAGTTTTGAGACTGAAGTCCGGGATATTGACCAGGCGGAAAATGTAATCCAGTAGGTGATGCTAAATTTGTGGCTTGCAAGCCTGGTGGTTGTGGTGGTTGGGATGGGTATTGTCCTGGATAGTTTTGGAAAGAATTCGTGGGAGCAGATGCACTTGAGAAATCCCCTGGAGAGAAGAAACCACGTGGTAAGCCATGGAAAGTAGGCAAGGCATTTGAGCCCGTTGGATATACAGAAGGTAACGTAGTAGGATAGGGAAACTGGTCAGAATAGGGCAAAGATCCGCCCATATTTCCTGGCAGCATACCAAACAAAGGAACAGACTGTCGCTGTTGGTGCAATGGAGTTTCATGAGAAAATCCCGGCAATTGTGTAAATGACTGCACTGGTGCAGATAGGCGGGGGTTTACAGCACGATTGTTTGTAAGAATCATTCCTCTCAATTGGTTCTCCAAACTCTCCGCTGAGTGAGAACCTGGAGGGGATGATCCTGCAGACTGGTTAAACGACATGCTGATGCCAAGTGTGTCGAGATGTGGAGCGTTGAACACAGTTGAGACAGCGATATGATATTATGAGATTAGAGAGGAATCGTGTGTTGCGGGTCGACTGAATACATAGAATTTGGCGGGGTGGTTAGGCGTTTTCTCATGGCGGGGATGAATGGATGCACAGCAGATCTGCAAGCGGGTTCGATGTCATACTTTCAGGCAGCAACTAGCGCATCACGTGTAGAGCCTTGGCTGCATTACAGACAGACAGAGCCTCATGCGTCGGTCTTCTCGAGTTGTCTGAAGTTCTGAACGTCGCAACTTCCCTGCGTGCACGTATTTTATATTCCCACCCCTTAGGTGGTATCAACATCTTGAATCAAACCACTTAAGCCCTTCTGAACCTTCATATAAAGGCCGGTTATATTCTAGAACCGCGTCACGTTGCCTACTGTTCTCCTCTTCCAGGTCTCAGCGGTTCGAAAATGCGGAATGGCAGTTATATTCGTGCTTTAGGCCGGCAGTCGTTCGAACCATCTCAAGGACCCTCTGTTCCAGATAGTGAATCCCCAGATCATGGCTCTTCCACCTCAGAACAATCACAGGAGATGCAGAGACGTTTGATCAAAGCCCAGAACGATGTCTTAGCTACTGTTGGTGTCTGTCTACGGGATACCAAGGGGCAGGAGACATCAGAAGCTATAATGCAGGAAAATGAAGTCGGATTACTTGTCGGTGCTGTGGATCTGACTATCACATATTTGGCTAGTTGGCCACTGGTAGGTATCAGAAACAGACTCCAGGTAAATATCCATTCACCAGAAATCACTCGAGCATCAACATCTATTGTTCCTAAAGTTAGGATTGAGTTGGTATAACGGCTGATAATAATAACCTTAGACTTATCGGACTTATGAAGGGTGGCGGTATAAAGATGTTTTAATAATGTCCTGGCAAAGCAATAATATCTTTCAGATGCTATCGGGAATGCCAGCCCATCTGTGCTATCAGCTTGTGAATGTCGGCCGGGACTACCTTCAGGCAAGGTTCTTAAGATGGTTGAGCCGTAAACCTCTGTTCATAAATAAAAAAACAGGAAAGCCACGCAGATTTGTTTTAAATTCTCTCGACAAAATGTACATTCATTTTTTAGCTGCAAGATTCTCGGCGATAACATAGCTGACTTGTTTTAGATTTTCTACGTGCTCCTGGTTCCTTGTATATCCACTCTACCAACACTCAATCTTGCAATCGCTCCATCTGATACCTCCCACTCCATTGCTTCCTCCTGTCACTTCATTTGTGCCCTTTTCTACACTCTCACCGTTATCGCTTCCTGAGCTCACCACGCCCTTATTCTCCCTGATTACAGTATCAGCTTTAGCTACACAAGCTCTCGGGTCGTATTTCCTGTTTTCTTTTCTTCAACAATCTGTCTGTGCAATGTTGCAATACAATCTTTTTCACCGCCTCCGCCGAGTCTTACCCCGCCCCGATAATCCAGATGGTGCATCAATCTCAGGAGCTCTTGATGATGACGATATCGATAGCTATGGCCGCTGGGACTCTGGACGTCAGCCCCACACTCACCCACGCAGAACAGTCATGGATGAACCTAGCATAGCAGCAATAATGATTGAAGAAACCCGTACTTTCGCTGAATTTGGCGACCGAGAACGAAGTTTCTCGGCAACGGTTCAGATCGAACATCAGCAGAGATCAGGTTCACCTCCTGCCGACGCTACACAATTAGAAGAAGACTTGAATGATTTTGAGGCCAGAGCATTGGAAGCAGCAATGCAAACCAACGGAGGTCCTCTACCACACCCCCATCATCACACACCAGCTGATCCAGCTGCCGTAACCGCTCGGATGAGATCAGCAAGGCAACAACACCGTGTAACACGTCTATCACAACACCCTGCAGACGTCGTAGCCTCTCACGCATCCGATGGCATCGCAACTGCCCTCAGTAGCGGGTTTGAAAGTGCTGTTATGAGAACTGTAGCAAGGAGTTTCATGATCCGGCAGATGGGGGTTGATCCAAGCCCTATTTATAAACCAAGCGACGTCTTTGGAAACTGGAAACTGGTAACGAAGGCATTGGCAGGAGAATGGGCCTTGATGTTCATGTTATTTGAGGGCAGCTATTATGCCACGACTTTTATTGGAATTAGGTGGTTCGGGTGGGTGTGACATATCTTCCCATGAGGGTTTGTGGCTAACCTTTTGAGTGTAGGTATCCGAGGAGCCTTTGAGTTGAGCTTTGTCTCTTATACACAACCTGTTATTTGGCGTTTGTGATATCAATTGCGTTGTCTTATAGCGGCTGGCTTAGGTTTTATGTTCGATTTATTCAAGCATCAGGAGGGTCGCCGAGTATCATCATTATACTCTTGAAAGTCACTAGTTGAGGTGCTATTGGAACCAATAAGAAAACTTTATAGTTAATTATAAATTAATTTTACTGCAGTCATTCGCAAATCCGAAATACGCCTCTACTAAATTTAAATACTCTACCTATATACAATTAATAAAGTAATCAATCAATCAATAGATGCTCTGCCTACTCGGAACGAACGAGTGATGGCATGTGCTTAAGGGCCTGTTTATTATAGTTATTTGTTTATAACACGATAAAATGCAAAACCTGCGTACTTGAAAGGCTCACGGGGACCGGAATATGCAGGTTTTTTTTCTATCTTTCTTTTTTTTTTCTTTTTTCTTTTTTTCTTTTTTTTTGATATGTATCATGTACATATCTGAGTTGGTGGATAAGCCGGTCTAACGAACCGGTTTATTTGGTCTTTCAAACAGGCCCTGGGTGAATCATCTTATCATGAGATTACCTACTCCTCTAAAAAATATACAATTGAGGAATCTGTAAATGCATCTAGCTCCTTCATAGAGGCACGACAGCCAGTGTTAGACTCGTCTACAAGAGCACATTGAACAAAAAACACTGGTGATGAATGTTCTCTAGATCTCCGATACCAGACCCTTCCTAGCACGGTGCAAGATATTTTAGGACAATATCTTGCTTATGTCCACGTATATAACTATGTGCAAATGCAGAGCCTGAGATTTGCACCAACCCTTTGCGTACTATATCAATCTGTTGGTCTAATTGTTGAATTGTGGATATGAGAATTGATATTACGTAAAATTGTATATCAACCCAAGAGCTAATGATCAATCTTACCTATCTGTGCCAAGTTGAGCTTTATTGTAGCTTCACCACCGTGTATGTAGGTTCGCGCTTACCTCCCCTCTTTACTCCATTGCTACATGATGTGGTAGCTGTATTTAGAAAAACAAACATATCTTGCAAGTCGAGCTCTGGGGGGCTTCAATTGACAGTTCTATCACCTATAACTAACCTCTAATCCCAGTCATCGTCATCATCACTCTCCACCACCTTGGTTTTGAATATCCCCCCCGTAATTCTACCAGTATCCTCCGTCTTTGCCCTCTGAAGCACTCCGCAAGCAAGCAACCGGTTCTCCAACATGGCAGTGCTGAAGTTATCAGTATTGCCCAACTCTGCGAAGCCCTCGATACGATCTACACTTTTGCCATCGATGAAGGAGATAAGGCATGGTAGAACGACAATTTTCAGTCGCTCTACGAGGAAGGGTGCGTTCTCGACATGTATGCGGGTGAAACGGGTGTCAAAGTGTTTGGGTGCGAGAGTGGAAAGATGGGTATCCATGATCTGACAACGTCGGAAATCAGGGTGAAAGAAGTGGATTATTGTGTATTTTGTAGAGCTGGATGATGGTGAGTAAGACGCTTAACAGGAAGGAGTGGGCTAGATGTATATACGTGGTGAAATCCATAACCTTCTTCTCCGATGTGGATTCTTCATACCCTCCGTGAGCTCGGTCTCTCATCTGTCGTGCTCTCATCATCCTACAACACGCCCATTATAAGCAATCCATAACCGCAAACAACATGTATTGATAGAGCTGCTCATACTCATCGTGCAACTGTTGCATCCTCTTCTCGCGGAACGCGTCCAATGCCGCCTCGTCTGCCTCAAGCTCGTCCAGAAGCTCATCCTCCTTGTCGTCGTTTTCTTCGGCATCCGGGCGCTCCTTGTCGAGGACCTTTGCAACAGTTGGATCGAGCTCAGCACTCATTTTGGCAGCAATTGGATTTGTAAATAGCTTGCAGCTTCCGTTTGATGGGTTAGGGTTGTTTGCGGGGTTGTGGTGTTCTGCAAGGGCTCTCCTTCTTTCCTGGTCTTCCTTCACCCCGTCGAGAGTTAACCACGTTGGTGGTAAAGTAGTGGAACGTGCACGCGCGAACCTTGGCAAACGTAACCCCAGCTGTCCCTGACCTATCTGGGCCCTTGACCTTACAAGCCTAGAATTATATAAACCAGCTCTACAATGGCATCTTCCGCCCCTCCACCACCTGCTCAATTCCCCCTACCAGCTGTACATACCGCTCTATCACCGTATATACACCCTCCCCAAGAAACACTTCACATCCGTCAGCTAGCAACCCAGCACCTCGCCAATCTCTCCACCGAGAAACGTATCACAGATGGTTCCGGCTCTACCGATGAATTCCGCCGCTTCCTCGATTTTGAGCTCGGCCGGAAGGGACCAGATTCTGGCGTACGGAAGGAGTATCTAATCGCGCTACGAGAAAACCTCAAAGCAAAGCGGGAATATGAAGCTATGCTCCGCGAGGGAGATGACGACAATCCTGGCGATGAAGAGGAGGTGAACGATTTAGAGGAGGAAGGGTGGAGGGAACTATATCTCAACACGCTAAAACTACGCCGGCAGCATGAAAGACTGGAGCTACTCAGAGTTTACCTGAATACTGTCTCTAACCCTAATGCTGAAGATCTTGCTGCAGAGGCTGCTGAGAACTTTAATGAACAGCCGCCTGCACCACCTATCCAACTTACTGCACAGAGAGGTACAGGCATTGGAAGTGATAGTGAGGATATAAAAGCAGGGGTGGAGGCAATGATACTACGGCTTGAGAAGGAAGTCGTTGCGGCATATGAAGCCCTTGAGAAGGAGAAAAACAGGATACAAGATCTTCAGGAAGGGCTTCACGATGATCCTCAAGGCACAAAAAAGGAAGCGTTAATCCGAGCCCGAGATACACTCATATCATGGCTTGAGGGCCAACTTGCACGTACCACAGCTGGCGGTGAGCCTGAAGACGAAGATATGATGGATGTTACCTCCGAAGAAGAAGTTGAAGGGGTCTCGGCGCAACAAATAGTAGACCGGATTCAAGCAGCTTACAACGACTATCTCAGGTCCCGAACAGAATTAGTACATATACTTGCCTCTGCACCTTCCATTGACGAAACCGGGCCCCTTTCTATAGATCCTACCGATCTCCCAACTGAACTTCCGGGTACGATGAAGAAGACTATACCTGCACCACCAATCCTCAGTGTGCTAACAGCGATGGAGCACCTTTTACCCCTTACTAAATATGCAAAATCTCTTCTCTATCAACGAACACAGCTCTCAACCTCGCTCTCATCGCAGCAAAAGAAATTACTCCGCCTTCTAGAGTCTTCCCTCGAAAAGTTCTCAATCCAACCTCCCCCTATCGCCGCTACCACCGTCTCCCCGTCACTCGAGATGGTAACAGCGCTAGCCTCAACATCAAAGGCTGCGATAGCGAAGAATTGTATAGAGGTTGGCAAAAATGTGACTGACGCAAAAAAGACGCTTGAGAACGTTGAAGGAGTGTTGGCGGAGGTGGAAACTTTAGTCGTCATGCCAAAGAAAGAAGTGTCTAAAATTCCTATGGCAAGGAGGAAAAAGAAGGGGAGAAGAGAGGAAGAGGAAGAAGTGGACAAGGGCTTGTGGGGAGGACTAGGAGGTGGGGTGGGGGTTATTGGGGATGGGATCTAATGGTGAGTAGTAAGAGGGTTTGGTATTCTATTTTTTATATCGCTATTCTAATAATACCTAACAGTGTGAATTTAATGTTTTAGAAGTATTGCTATTGTAGCTTAGATTTTAAATAAGCGTCATGACCTACTTAGTATAAATAGAAGAAGGGCTTCCGAATAATAATGTTTCCCACACACCCCAGATGCTTGACATTGAATGGGTTAGGGTTGATGTGGGTGTTCTATTCCCAATTTCACCTAGCGCCAAAGCTTGTCTCATCTCATGCTCAAGATCATCTCCAGCGGATCACCCAATCGCGCAAAAGCTCTCCTCCACACAAAACGCTCCCCCTCATACCTCTCCACCACCAACACACTCCTTTGCGCAGATGGCACCTCCTCCTGTAAATGAGCCCCTCAAGAACGTTGACGGTACCTTTTATTCCTGTATTTCGCCCCCCTATAGCCACCTCGACTAACCTACCCTTGCAGTCCACCTCCGTGCCGTCATCGAAACACTCTACGAGATTTCCGTCGGTGTATACGGCTACCAAGGCCCAGAATCCACAGACGTCCTCGCGAACCAAATGTACCGCTGCGATTTTCCCCCTGCGTGGCGCCTGAAGCTAACAAACACATAGAAACAAGCTATCGACGCAGTACAGCACACTCGCAAACTCAGCCTCCAAGCTACCCCCCGACGTCGCGGTCCCGCGCGAGGTCATACAGTACATTGAGGACGGGCGCAACCCGGACATCTACACGAGAGAGTTCGTGGAGATTGTGGTCAAGCAGAACCAGTTCATGAAGGGGAAGATGGAGGCGTACCGGGACTTCCGCGACGTGTTGGCGGAGCAGATTAAGGTTTCGTTTCCGGAGTTGAGCGAAAAGGTTGAAGAGGTGGTAGAAGGCACGGGCGGAAGAAAAAGGGTTAATGGTGCGTAAATTGGAATTTTTCTTGTTTCTTTTGTTCTTTTTAAAAAATAGTAAGGCAAGGGAGGGAGGCGAGGGTCTGTAATGTGGAGGTTGTGGCAGGAGAGAGGCCCGGAGGATTGCGAATCCTTGTATGGTTAACCACTCTGCCTGCTAATAAAGGGCTAGGTCTATCATGATTTAGACTGCGGAGTAAAGGGGGAATGGTTTATAGCATCCGTTGATAACGTAGTATCATGCAGTAACTTTATCTCACGCATGGCGCTGTTTATATTAGAATAATGAAAGATGATTTATTTCACAATGTCCTAATGTTTTTACAAGAAGATTCCGGTGCGCATGATCATTGAAATTTGACTTGCGGTGGTCTGATATGCGACAAGAATTTGCAGGATATGAGAGAAGGTTCGAGAAAAACAGTGTAAGCCAACGGAATCAACCAATAGTAATGGGAATCAATTCGATCACGAGATTGAACAATCCCAAATTTCAAACATAGCATAGATACAAACCCCATGATTTAGCCCAAGTACATCAACGCTACTAACCTCGGAACCCCTCGATCAAGACCCTGTACGGCCACAATCTACTACAAGAGCGAGTAGCCGGTGTCTAGAATCTAGATCTCCCCATAACATTTGTTAACCTTCTTCCTCACCAGCCGGTATCCGCATAGCCGTGGAGGAGAACGGTGACTTCCGCAGCGCAGCCCACACCGAAGTTCCCTTTTTACGAGAACTAGAACAGCTTCGACTACCTACAGCTAGATATGATATCTAATATATACCACAGGACAGGTCTTTTGTGCACCATGTAAGATAGAAATATAGAGTTCTCCAGTTTCTCCCGCGCGCGGGAGAAAGAAATGGCTGGTGGGATGCAGCATCCATCACCTTTCCCTAAACATGGCTTGGGAGAATATTCTTAATTCTGGTACCAAGCTACATGTAGCTGGGATACAAAACAATCAAAAATGTACATACATACCCTTCTCCACCCTTTCCCTCCCTCCGTCCCACAAAAACTCTTTGGGGTGGGCGGGGTGCTGGTCGAGTGATACCCTATGACGCCCGAGATTGATTGATTGATTGTGACGCCCCGAGAAGTAGCTACTTGTATCTAACTACCTCCAAATCTGCGCCATTTGACTTATTTACTACCCTGCCATAGACTCGAGGTGTGTTTCTTGCCGTGCTTAATTGGGGGGGGGGGGGGGTATACTTGGCTATTTGTCTGTTTTATATCTACATGTACTACCTGTATGAGCGGTTTTCCGCGACTCTATTTCGGGCTGATATGTAGCTACATGTAGACATAGCGATTTTTTTGATCGATGGGTGCATAGATATAGTATACCAGGGTTATATTTTCAAGTCACTAGATGGGCATATATAAAGGGTTATGGAGCTGTAGACACAGTAGTCCGGATCTAAGCCTATAGGACTGTAGGTATGTAGATGCGAGCTTAGATAGATGGACGAGGCGGCGCCATGCAGAAAGAGCTATACACAATTGCAAACGCAACCACGCCGCTGCCAATGATTCTCGAGCCAGATTACTGTTCCTGCCAATGCAACGGCTGTCTATTAACCACTGCACCGTCCTATCCTACCAGCATCTAATCTAACCCTCCCCCTACCTTCCTTCAACTCTAAAGACTATATACACACCCCTGCCACCCCCCCTCTACCTCCTCCTCAAGAACCAATTAAACGCCAACTGCATGACCTCAGGCCCAAACGGCGACGGCACCTCCGTCTGCCCGGGCCTCGCCACGGGGTGGCGCAGATACACGGCGTGGCACGTGTTGTGGTTGACCTCGAGGTACTTTGGGATGAACGCGAAGGGCGGGAGGTAGTCTCTTGGCCGCCACGGGGTGGCGTAGGGCTTGCTGTAGTCGATGGGGTTGTTGGGGTCGCCTTTCTTGTGGGAGGAGGAGGGGGTGTCGAGAGAGAGGGCGGCGAGGGCCTCGTCGGGGGTCACGGGGTCGGGGGCCTCAGCGGAGGAGGCGGAGGCCTCGGCGGATTCAGAGGGTTCGGGGGATTCGGAGGCGGCGGCGGCGTCTTCGGGGGTCTCGGTGGACTCGGACTCGGACTCGGACTCGGTGAATTCAGAGGCGGACTTGCCGGTGCCGATTTTGGGGGCGCCGGTGGCGTAGAGGACCTTGGTCTGGTCGACGGAGAACATGTCGCCGGGGTTGAGCATGTAGTTCGGATGCGTCATCTATCCCCCCATTAGCACTCTCTCTTCCCCTCCCTTCCACCCCCACCCCTCATTCTCACTCCCCCCCCCAATACAAAACTCACCTTCTTCCCATTCACCTTCACAAACCCATGAATCACAAACTGCCTCGCCATCCTCGGACTCGCCGCAAACATGGCTCGATAACACGCAATATCCAGCCGCCTCTCCATGGGCCAATACAGCTGGCTCATATACGGCACGGCCTGCACACCCACGCCCTGGTCCGCGCCGACGCCGGCGCCGCGGCCAGCAGCCATGTGCGCGCCGCTGTGCTCGGCAAGGTCAACGCTGTACATGGGCACGACGGCCTTGAGCGTGCGCCGGAACATGGTCTGCCATTGGCGCGCCGTCAGGTACTCGCCGTGGTAGGCGCGCGTCTCGGCCTTGGAGGTCCACTTCTGCTGGAAGAAGGTGCGGCGCTCGAGGCGCGGGGGCCGCTGGCGGGTGAGGTTGTACAGGTTCCATTTGGACCAGGATTGGCGCATGCGCTGTCGGGGGTGTTAGTGGGGGGTGTGTCATTGGAGGGGGGGGGAGGGGAAGGGGGGGGGGGGGTACCGGGCGTTTGAGGGTGAAGAGCTTTTCGCGCATTGTGCTGGGTGGTGGGGTGGTGGTTGGCCGGGGGGGGTTGTGGATGGCGGGGTGCGTCGTGGTGGACGTTGCCGGTGTCAAAGTTTTCGGATGGTGGGGGCTTGGCGGGGGTCGAGTGAGATGCTGTGGCCGGGGATCGGGACCGCTGTGTCTGGCTGTGGAATGCAGAATGGGGGTTCTGTGTGTGCTGCAGCTGTCTCTGCGCGGTGGCGGTGGCGGGCTCTCGCTTGCACTGCTCTGCGCTGTGTTTCTGCTGCCCGCTGAAAGACGTCGTTGGGTGCCCGCGGATTAACGGTTAATCCGGGGAAGCGGCTGACTAACGGGACGCTCTTGGCGTGGCGGCAACGTTTCTCGAGTCAGCTCTCCAACCTTCAAACAGCAGCTCTCCACCATCTTATCTTCAACGCCCACAAAAACCAATACCAAAAACACCTCACATAACCAACACCCCCCAACACCCCCCAACCCCCCAACCTACCGCCCACCATGCCCCGCGCCGAAGCCGGCTCCCTCAAGTCGCTCAACAACAAAATGAAAGCCAAGGGCCTCCAACGCCTGCGCTGGTACTGCCAAGTCTGCGAAAAACAGTGCCGCGACGAGAACGGGTTCAAATGCCACACGCAGTCCGAGTCGCACGTCCGCCAGATGCTCGTGATCGGCGACAACGCCAAAAAGTTCATCACAGACTACAGCACGCAGTTCCAGCGCGACTTTTTGCTGCTGCTCAGGACGAGCCACGGCGAGAAGAAGATCAACGCGAACCACTTCTACCAGGAGTACATCGCCAACAAGGAGCACGTGCACATGAACGCGACGCGGTGGATCTCGCTGAGCGAGTTTGTGAAGCACCTTGGGCGCGAGGGCGTGTGTCGGGTGGAGGAGGGGGAGAAGGGGCTGTTTGTCAGCTGGGTGGATAGTGGTCCCGAGGCGATGCAGCGGCAGGAGGCGATTCAGCGGAAGGAGAGGCAGGACCGGGGCGACGAGGAGAGGGAGCAGCGCGCGATTAGGGAGCAGGTGGAGAGGGCGAGGAGGGATGCGGAGGTCGCGGGCAGGGACCTGGAGGGCGCGGAGGAGAGGGTGCTGAAGAGGGGGGAGGGCGAGAAGATTAAGCTCTCGTTTGGCGCGCGGAAGGTCGAGCCGGCGGAAGCTGAGGTGAAGGACGAGCCCGAGAAGGTCACGGAGTATACTACTGCTGCGCCGGAGACGAAGGCGGAGGCGCCCCCGCCGCAGCCGGCGAAGGTCTCGCTCAAGATGGCGGCGAATAAGCCGAAGAACGTCTTTGCGGCTAAAAAGAAGGACGCAAAGAAGGAGGCCAAGAAGGAGGCCACGGCAGCGCCAGAGAGGCCGATGAGCGCTGCCGAACGCATCATGAGGGAGGATATGGCGCGCAAACGGCTCAGAGGCGGGCCGGGGCCTGAGGGGCCGAGAGATACAAAGAGGCAGCGAGTTTAGTTCTTTTGTTTCTTTTTCTTTCTTTTTCTGTTTTGTGTTGGTTCTGGGCTTGGGTTGTAACATATATTTCTTTCCATTGGGTTGGGATAGTTAGTTAGCGGGTGGAATGCACTGAGAGTTGGAGATAGATATCTGTGTTTCTGTTGAAATTGAGATTCCTGGGCCTTAACCCGGAGTGCGGTTCGTGCCTGTATGTAATCATGGTCATTTCTATATAGCACTGTTCTAGTAATGGCAGCATTGGCAGATTTAGACCCCAACCCTTGTCACGGTGCTTTGAGTTGTAGGCCCATAGGTAGACTCATATCGAGTGTTCCTTTGTGGTTTGTATATACACTACTTGTGGTTGAGTAAATACTACTGCTATCATGACATTAAGGTCTGTTTGTCGGATTCTATGATTCACGGGTTATAGTTTCTGTCCTGGAATATATGAGCTGTCCTAGCATATAAAGAGGCCTACGCTTTATGCTTGGGTCTGTATAGGTACTCTATTGCAGGTAGCGGCGGCGGCGGCGGCGGTCTATGGCCTTTGTCTACCCAGAACAGACGTGATATCACAATCATGGCCTTGTGCTATATGTTGGTGAAGCTACAGACAGAATCGAGCATTTTTTCAATAGCTTGTTAGTTCAAACTGGCCAGCTTTGAGTGCTACTGTAGTCGCCGGATCCTGCTTATAAGAAGGCCAGTCAGTTCACTGGCAATTCTCATTTCATGCTTGTTTCAGCCGCCTGCCCTCCACCTCCAGCCCAGGCCTAGCTAGCTACATGTAGCTATTCCCAAGCTCGTATTCCTTTATGATAGCTGTCCTTTATCACTTTGAATAGGACCTAACTGGGCCGCCCATAATATAACCCCACGCCATCTCACGCAAAATTATTAATAGCGCCCCCCCGGTACGGTAGTGGTCAATCGTACACATCTGTCTGGCTTTGTGTAACTACGATGGCCCCAGAAATCATCCGAGTGGTATGGTATGGTATGGTATCTGCGCCACATGTCAAGATGTGGCTGTTTGTTCGATGAACAAGTAAAGGGTTTCATGGGGTTCTCTATTGAGAACTGTATATATAATACCTACCCCGGAGATGCCCTGGGAGGTGGGAGGTGGTGCGGCGAGGATTCGGTTGATGCGGATCCATTTAGCGACTCTTCCAGAAGACACGACCGGTGCTGTGTGCTGTACCTTGCATAGCCACCGACCACACACGCACGCGCCACTTACATGGGTGTTGTTGTTACCCCTGTCCTGGGTAGGGTGTCTAAGGTGGCCTTTAATTCTCAACGGTCACAGGTAGACAGCTGAAGTGCACTTGCTGTGGTAAGATGGGCAGAGGATGGATGGATTGGTGGATGGATATATGGAGTGGAACGGATGGAAGAGGGACGAAGGCCAGGAACATCCGTTGATGGTGTCATATATGGGCTGCTGCCCTCCCTTCCCTCTCTCCCGGCCCCCCGCCTCGATACTGCTGCTGTTCCCCCCCCCCCCCCCCCCCCCGTATATCAATTCAATCTGTCTGCCCATTTCTGCTTGCTGGCTGCGGGTGCTGCTGTACTGCTGTAGGTAAATTGATCGAGTGGTGATTCGCGCGTGTGGGTTTCATATATTTCTGTGTATTGGGGTCTCGGATATCTGGCCTCTACTAGCATTCTGCTGCACGCTGCACTCCTGGCTGGTCAACTGCGAGTCTACTTTTCTCTCCCGCTCCCTCTTATAACTTCTCCTTGCTTCCGGAGCTTTATAATCAGGGCCTGTTCCTTACACATCCGGGTCATTTTTTTTTTCTCCTTCTCCTTCTCTTTCTCTTTCTCTCTCCTTTCCCGTCCCGTCTACTACATACTTTAAATATCTTTAGCCAGCAGAATTCCACTCTACAGTTTTCTGCTTCTACTTCTTCTTCTTCTTCTTATTCTCGAGTGCACCTATTTGTCCTCTTGTGCAACACTCACTCTGTGAATACCTACCCACCTACCCACAACTGCTTCTACAACACCCCCGAAAGGACCACCTCCCACAATGCGGATCGCCCGCACCTCCCAGCTCCTAGCCGGGGCCGCACTGCTCTCCTCAACCCTCATCGAGGCCGCCGCCCCGCCACCCAGCGTCTGCAATGTAACTTCCCGCACCCACCCACCCCCTGGAGCACCCTACTCACATGTACAGAACTCCCCGAGCGAGCTCGTGCCCGACGGCTGCGCCTCCTACGACACCATCGAGCGCCTCAACAAGAAGCTCAACCCGCTGCTGAAGGAGATCACCCACGACACTGACTACTTTAGCTACTACCGCCTCGACCTCTTTGGGCGCACGTGCCCCTTCTGGGACGACGAGGGCATGTGCGGCAACATTGCCTGCGCCGTGACCACCATCGACGACGAGAAGGACATCCCCGAGATCTGGCGCGCGGAGGAGCTGGGCAAGCTGGCGGGGCCCAAGGCGTCGCATCCGGTGAGTCGGGAGCCGACGGAGCCGTCGCCGCTGAAGGGCGCGCTGGGCACGGACCGCGAGGAGAGCTGCATTGTGGAGGAGGATGAGTGCGATGAGAGGGACTACTGCGTGCCCGAGGACGAGACGGAGGGCAGCAGGGGCGACTATGTGTCGCTGATTGAGAACCCGGAGAGGTTCACGGGGTATGCGGGGGCCGGCGCGCAGAATGTCTGGAAGGCGATATATAGGGAGAATTGCTTCGACAGGCACCCGGAGCTGGAGGAGCCGAAGGGGTCCGCGGGGTTCTCGAAGAGGAACCCGGCGGCGATGGAGTTTGCGGGGGTGATGCAGGAGAAGGGGAAGCATGAGTTTGGGGTTGGGAAGGACGGGAAGCAGAGCCTGGTGGAGCTCGATGCGGACGATGAGTGTCTGGAGAAGAGGGTCTTCCATAGGGTCATCTCGGGCATGCATGCGAGTATCTCAATGCATCTGTGCTGGGACTACTTGAACCAGTCTACGGGTGAGTGGGGCCCCAACTACGAGTGCTTCATGTCCCGCTTCAAGGGACACCCGGAGCGTGTACAGAACATCTACTTTAACTACGCCCTCCTTGCCCGCGCCGTCTCGAAGCTCCAGAACTACCTCCAGGACTACACTTTCTGCTCCGGCGACACTTACCAGAGCCGTATTACCAGGGCTAAGGTCCTCAAGCTTGCCAAGACCGCTGCCTCCGCTGAGCCAATCTTTGATGAGTCTCTCATGTTCCGGGGCGAGGTGGCAGGTCTCAAAGAGGAGTTCCGCAACCGCTTCAGGAACGTCTCCAGGCTCATGGACTGCGTCGGCTGTGACAAGTGCCGTCTGTGGGGTAAAGTCCAGACGCAAGGATACGGAACTGCCCTCAAGGTCCTCTTCGAATTCGACGAAGACGCTGAGCCCGGCGTTAACCCTGTCCTCCGCCGCACCGAGCTCGTTGCGCTCGTCAACACCCTTCACCGTGTATCCGACTCCCTCGTTGCCCTTGACGCCTTCAAGGCCATGTGGGACCAGCGCCAGGCCGAGGAGCTGGAAGCGAAGAGAGAGGCGGGTCGCAGAGCGGCTGCGGGGCCTAGAAAGGAGGGGGAGGTTGAGCCGACTATCAAGGAGCTGTTCGTGGAGGAGGTTAAGGTCGTTTGGATGACGCTCATGTTTGTCATGAGGAGTTGGTACGAGGTGCCGAAGCATCTGTAAGTTTTATCTCGCTCTCTGTGTCTGTGAAGTAGAAGTGGATAGGAGGCTAATTGGCAATACATAGGATGATCATTGGACTGTCGGAGGCGAGTCAGCTGTGGGATCGCGCGATGGGGCGGGCGCCCAGAGAGGCGTTCTATAGCTGGAAGGGGGACAACTATCTTAACCCCAAGAACGAGCTCTAGCTAGCTAGTTGGTTTTGTGAATTTAATTAGGAGGGTTCCTTTTTTTTTCTTTTATAGCTGTTTTTCCATCTCATCTCGTTTTGGGGGGGTGTTTTGTTTCTTGGTTTTTTTTTTTTTTTTTTTTTTTCTCTTATTTACCAATTAGTTTTTTTTTGTCTCTCTGCCCTTTTTGTGTTTGAAAGGGTGGGAGTGTATAAAGTTATTCCTTTGGCGGTTGTGTATGAATGCGTGCGTGGTAGATGAGTGTTATTTTAGTGGTGCGGAATTGGGACGGGGATGGAATTGAAGTGGTTCCGTCAATAGTCAGTATTAGTGCAGTGCATGTGCGGGTGAATGAGCGCGATTGAAGAAAAGTGCCTCCTGGAGAGAGAGTGATATTCCATGTCCCCCACTCTGACGCGTATGTAGAGTAGCTCCACGGCACCGCCAAGCCCTAGCTCCACCCCACGTCAGTTAGCACCATACCAACCCACACCCTGAAGCTCCCCCTCACCATCACCAACCTCACACCTCACAACATCATCAATCCACACACCACTCCAACGATAGTAGAGTGCTGCTCCTATCCCCTCCATCCATCCACTCCATACCCCCAATTAACCAATTAACCCCCACCACCAACCCCCAACAGTAACAATGTCCCCCCACCCCCAAGCCCACCTCCTATTCCACGCCCCCATCGCAGACCACTCCTTCTCGGCCGACAGGAGCCTCCTAGCCGTGTCCAGAGACATCAAGGTCGAGCTCTACGGCCACGAGGCGGACGGCAGCTTCAAGTTTAAGGAGGAGCTCGTCGGCCATGATAAGACCGTCACCAGTGTCGATATTGCGGCCAAGAGCGGCAGGATTGTGACGTGCTCGCAGGGTAGGTTTTGGCTTCCTTTCCGGTTGGGTTAAGAGTGGTTTGTGGTTGCGGGAGTGCTCTTAAGCTCGCGGATTGGAGGTTTTGAATGCTCGACTAACGTCCCCAGACCGCAACGCCCTCGTCTGGGAGCCCTCCCCCACCGGCTGGAAACCTACCCTCGTGCTCCTCCGCCTCAACCGCGCCGCAACCCACGTCCGCTGGTCCCCCGACGAATCCAAATTCGCCGTCGGCTCCGGCGCGCGCGCCATCGCCGTCTGCTACTTTGAGCAAGAGAACGACTGGTGGGTGTCCAAGCACCTCAAGAAGCCCCTACGCTCCACGGTCCTCTCCCTCTGCTGGCACCCCAACAGCGTGCTCCTGGCCGCCGGCTCCGCCGACGCCCACGCCCGCGTCTTCTCCGCCTTCATCAAGGGCGTGGACCAGCGCCCCGAGCCCACGGCCTGGGGCGAGCGCATCCCGTTCAACACCGTCTGCGGCGAGTACATGAACTCGTCGGGCGGGTGGGTGCACGCCGTTGCGTTCTCGCCGAGCGGCGATGCGCTTGCCTTCGCGGCGCACGATTCGAGCGTGACGGTGGTGTATCCGGCGGCGCCGGACGCGCCGCCGAGGGCGGTGGTTACGGTTACTACGCAGATGCTGCCGTTTGTGGCGCTGTGCTGGACGAGGGAGGATCAGCTTGTGGCGGCGGGGCATGATTGCCATCCCGTGGTGTTTGAGGGGAGTGTGGAGGGGTGGCGGCAGGCGTATGCGGTCGATGATCCGAATAAGGCGCAGCAGGGCGCGGCGCAGGAGAGCTCGGCGCTTAATATGTTTAGGCAGATGGACCTGAAGGGGAAGAGTGGGGTCGGCGATGATGCGAGTCTGAAGACGATACATCAGAACTCGATTGCGAGCTTGAGGGCGTATGAGAGCGCGGGGGGAGAGGTGGTGAGGTTTAGTAGTAGTGGGTATGGGCTTTCTTCCCCCCTTTTTTTGTGTTGTGTGGTTATCTGTTGTTTTGGGTGAGACTGATTTGTGTGTAGTGTTGATGGGAGAATCGTCATCTTCCCGGTTGCGCAGTAGACGTGGATCAGAGCGGTGCCGATACCGATACCGGTACCGATACCCTGGAGGACTGGGTTGGTTTGTGAGTCTGGAGGTAGTTAGTTGGTAGAAATCATCAAGTAGATACATAACGTAGTGGCAGAGAGAAATATCATATCGTTGCCGTATTCTTATGTGTTGTGATTGAGTGATGAAGAGCGAAGTGAGCGTGAAGTGCTAGTGTGGTGAGTGCAGTGGCCGAGTGAGATACTATGACCGGTTTCTTGGCACTGGCGGGTGTAACGAAAAGAAACCACTGCAGTTCGAAAGCACTTTCGAACCACAGTCAAGTAGATACATTGATAAAGTGAATTTCCACGCTCTTGACCGAGGTGTCCTTCCGGTTGATAGTACCTATTTGTACAGCCTGTCATGATGGAATCAATCCTAGCTTTCAGCTACATTGACCAGAGGCAGTAACTAACCTCCTCCTCCTCCTCCTCCTCCTCCCATAGCTATAGCCACGCCCACCAAAATGTCCCGTAGGTACAATCCACTTTGTGTTTACCACACCATAGCTATACCGGTGTTCCACAACACAAAGCGCCCGCCCGGCACATCCATATCACGAGGCCCTCTAAAGTCAACATCTGGTCCAAGCCCGCGACTGCTGTGGAATAAGCTCTCGTGGGCTATGGTACCGGGTTTACTAACGATGGGGCGCGGGGGGAGGGGGGGGAGTTAATCATGGTTGCTTTTTCGGTCTGGTGCTATCATGGCTTGGTTGGTGAGAAGGCGTTTATGGGGGGTGGAGCCCGGGGCACAGAGATATGTAGTAGCGTACTGTGACGAGACAGAGAGAGTCATCAGGTCAGTACCAACCCGGGCAGGTCGATGATAATGATTATGGGCCTTTTCTATGCGACAAGTGCACAATCACGGAATATCACTCGAATAGCTCCGATTCTAGTACTGCAGGGTAAATCACCACACCACATTCCAACGTAGCACCTCACCATCATCGCCAGCCCGGTTCTGGGCAGGAAAGAAGTCTTGCATATTCTATCGCAGCTCAAAGAACCCACATAATTTGTACATGGGAATAAGATAGCTCAATATTCAGCAACCCCCCACCCACCTCCACGCTCATGAATTGGATCCGCTTTCCTCTACAGATTGGTATAGACAAGACAAGCCCACTCCTACCAGCACCGCATACTTTTTTCCCGCCACAGCAAAGGGTGGGAAAAAAAGGCAAAAAAGGGGGCTATGCTAATAAACCGGGGGAAATAAAAGGGAGAAAAAAGAAAAAGGAAAAAAGAAGCACAAAATCACAAAACCGCCTCCCGGCCAGTCTCATAAACTAAACTACACTGGGCCCTCAACCCGCATGCTCGACAATCTCGCTCTTCAACAGCCCGCCCTTCACCGTGTGCCTCAACTGCTCTGGCACGGGCTTCTCCACATAGTCCCACTCCTCGCTCCCCTCTGCCGCGTGCGGGATGTCGATGTTGATTGCGGTGCTCTTACTCGTCAACACCTCAATGTCGGGGTTGGTCTTGCTCAGGTATATCGTGCCGCCGTCGCACTGGTCGACCTGGACCGTAGGCGCGCTGCCGTTGATCTGGAGCGAGAACGAGTTGGACTTGATGATGTCGATCGAGGACACGAGGTTATCAACGATCACACCCGTCTTGGTGCACTCGTTGATGGACACAGCATTAATCTTGCCGTTGATCTGAATCACGGTATTTTTACAGCGGAAGATAAAGACGGATTGGTTGATTTCGACGTCCTCGAGGACGAGAGCGCTTTCATTTTCGTAGTTTTCCTAATGCGGCGTTAATAATAGCTACAATGTAGTAGCAGTATATGCAGGGTGGGAGGGTGTACAATCATCCACTTGTTCCCATCCAACTCCTTCTTTGGTGGCTTCTTCATCGTCAGCCCTGCTGGCTTCGCTCTCGTCGGCGGCGCTGGGGACTTCCCGCGCAGGCTTCCTGAGGACCCCGGCCTCGCGGCAGGAACCACAGAACTGGCGCGCAGCGACGGGTTCTTGTGCGTCATGTCCTCCTTGCTCACCTTCCTCAAGCCCGCCGTGACATCTGCACCGCGGTTGATCGCCGCAAACACCGAGCTGACAGGGTCTGCCTTGGGTGAGCTGCTCCCATCCAGTGCCGCCAAATTCGGTAGTGGCGGAGGAGGTGGGGGTGGCGCCCCGCCCGAGAACCCGAAAGCATTAGAACTGGAAGCACCGTCCAGAGCCAACAGGGCCTCCCTTGCATCAATCCCTTTAGCGTTCCATGTCAGTCCTGCAGGATACCACTTCTTCGTGTACGCCTGCAACGCGGTGATCCAGTTATAGATGGAGCGCACCCACTCGACGCCCGCAGGCTCCTTCGTCGTCAGGATGCGGTTTCCCCAAAACTGCGCTCCACCGAGGGTCTCTCCAATGTGTTTTGGGGGGGCCATGTCGGTTGCAACCCAGGTGAGACTGGTGATGCCCTCGCTGATGGTCTGGAGATAGGTGATGTGACGCGAGGCGCGGTTGGACTCGCAAATGTTGGAGGCGTTTGCCCATTCGCGCTGCATCGATGTCAGGAGGTCCATGAACTGCGTGGACCCCTCAGGCTTGCGCGCTTTGGTCGTGATCAGGAGGAATTTGCGTTGTGCGGCGAAGCACTTTTCGACAGCTTTGCTCTGCAAACTAAGTTAGTGGAGCTCCCCATGGAGTATGTGCGTGTGAATGAGAGTGGGCCATACCTGCTCAATGATAAGCGACTGGTCAAGAGCTTTACTCTTCTCAACATATGTCGCTACAGGGCCCGCAATAAGCTCATCAAACTCCTCAACGTTCGGAGGAAGCTCCTCTTGGACAACGGGGGGCTGCGGCAGTGGGACGTTCCTGATTGTCGATGCTGCACTCTCAGTGCTCTGGATCTGCTGCGTGGTACTGCTGGACGCCGCGTAGCTTGGGATTGAAGCAATATCTTCGAGACGAGACGTTGCGGCCTCGAGCCTAGCTTCTAGTGTCAGCAGAGCTATCTAAGAACCTGGGGGAGAAGGAGCGAGAGGGAACAAACCTCTTGATGAGGGTCGTTAGGTTGTGCATTTGTGTAGGATGGGCAGCCATGGTCGTGATGAAGTGTGGGGAGTATTGGGGAGCGGGGGGAGTAGAGAGTCGGTGGTGGCTTTCAGGGGGGAAGATGGGGTGAGGGGTGAGCTTGTAGGGCTGGGTACTTGGAGGGGGCTGTGTGGGTTACCCGGGCGAGGCCGAGTGAGCTGTGGTGAGCTTGTGGGACGTGAGGTTACAGATGAGTTCCGTAATGCATAGCACGCAGTGGGCAGTAGTAGGTACAGCGTCTCAGGAACTGAACATTGGGATCCAATCCCCATCATGCACTGAAGATCCCCAACTCCAGTAAGTACATACATACAGAAACAACTGTGAAACCACTGTCGCATTATGGCAATGCCATTAAACATGCGGGATCAATATTATTACTATCATATCATCCTAGTTCTGTAAAAATATCTCGCCCTGCAGTAGCACAGCATGTATGTACCTACATGTAGCATTCGGTAGAGCCCACAGCTCCTCATAGAACATGTTACACAGTTATCCCTCTCAACCCCAACCCACACAGACGCACTCCCGCAGAGCCTCACCACCACCAAACCAAACCAGCTAGGGCAAACCCTACCCACACACAACGACCCAGTCCACCCCTCCGCCCTCTCCGCCAAAGCACGCATCACGAAAAAAAAAAAGATAATACCCACTTCGCAACCACCCACCTCACACTACCCTCCCAAAACCGAATTTTCGAACCTCCCGCTTCGTCAAAAATCCTCAAATCGTACGTCTTTTTTGTTTTCGCCCCCCCGATGGAAACGGCTGGGAAAAATTGATGACGGGGACAAAATTGGCTGACTGGGTGAGGGGGGAATTATAGATCAAAAAATGGATTCTGGAAAGGCTGCCGTTAAGCTCGTCAAGGTCGTCAAGGTCCTCGGGCGCACTGGTCCGTAACCTCCTCCTCTCTACCAACTTTCCAGCGATACAACCACCCAGAATCCAAAAACCCTAACCAATATAAACAGGATCCCGTGGAGGCGTGACCCAGGTTCGCGTCGAGTTCATGGACGACACCACTCGTTCTATTATCCGTAACGTCAAGGGCCCCGTCCGTGAGAACGACATTCTCTGCCTCCTTGAGTCCGAGCGTGAGGCCAGGAGACTGAGATAAGCGGTTTCGTGTGTTCGCTGGGGTTCTCTTTTTTCAATGTTTTTCGCTACAATATAAAAAAAAATGGAATTGGGCTTCCCTTTTTTAGTCCGGATAGGAAAAGGATTTAGGGGTGGAATGTACCGGTAGGATTTTTTTTTACAAAAAACAAAACTATCGGGGATTTCAACGTTTTTGGCCAATTTCTTCTCTCTGTTTTCTGGGTGTGGTTGGGAATAATGGAGTGTGGGACTTGTTGATATATCGGCGTTTAATGATTCATATTCGACTTTACGAACCGGTACTCGGGAACCTTCAAGATTATGGATATTGGGGATATTTGAAGATTTTAGAAGAGCCAGTAAGAACCGGAACTAGATTATATATTCGCCAACCCCCAAACGCAGCAAACTTCGAACATTCCCCCATACACGACAATTTCGTAACATATCCAATGTTTATCGAATCCAAAAGAAGCTGCTATTATACCATGAAATGCGAAAGGAAGAAAAGATGTAAAAAAAAAAGAGAAGGGACAAATTAAACAAGTGATACCAATTGCCCACCTCTATAGCTGTGCCAACATAGTCTCCAAAGAGTGCCGATCATACTTGACATATTTGTCCCTCATCAAGTCCTTATACTTATCATAAAACCTGCCATAAAGCGGGCCAATAAATCCAATCTCTTTGGCCAGCATGGTACGTACTTCCTTATCAGGAAATGTGTACTGCTTATGTCTCTGCACAAGGTCCTCAAACGCCGTATTGAAGTTCTATCCTAAATCAGTCCTGTACCACCCCAAAACTAAGAGCATTAAAACTTGCCTTGAACTTCTCTTTGACGCCCTCCTTCTCCTTACTAGTTAGTGTGACCTTCCCCCCTGAGTGCTGCTTCGTGTATGTGACGTCCATCAGGTACGCTGCACATTCCTTCCACTGCTCCATGTACATCTTTACAGCGTCTTTTCTCCACTTCTCGACCTTCTGCTGCGCTTCCCGAGACATGATATTCGCCAGGTCGCTCTTCCGGATATTGCTCTCAATATAGTGAACATTGTTTACCATAAAGACCGCAACCGTGGATGTCTTCTTGATCATCACCCTCGCTTTCTGCTCCAGCTCATGTATCAACTGATCAATGGCATCAAGACAGAACTGCGACAGCAGCTGCACTCCATCCGCACCAACGTCAAAGGCCGACATTGTAGGTGCAGTATATGGCTTGTTACCATGCCAATTTCCCTCTCCCAAAGAGACCAAAAGACCTGATATCGCATTAGGATAATCTGACATTCTTCTGAGTCGGGCCATGACGTTCGTGGTCAGCTCTGCGACAGTATTGTCCAATGGTAGAGCAACTGTGCTTGACCCACTCTTCTTGATGTCCTCAAGAAAATGCGAGAAACTGCTTTGCGCGGTGAGCCGCAGCGGTTTCAGGGCCTCCGTGAACTCGCGCTGCTCGCCTGTTTTTGTCTTTAGACGCAGACTGGCGGGCTGGACGTTCTCAATAACGTCGTATGCGAGGAAACAGTCTGTCACCATGTTTGCCTTGACGAATGCGTTTAAATCTGCTAGGGTCTTTTTGAAGACGCCCATAGGCTGCAGCGTAGTATTACTGTACACAGTTGGCCACTCCGAGGACGGGAAGAGATGGCAGATATTGTCGTACTCGGCCTCGAAGATTGCCTCGAGGGCGTTTGTGTACATCGATATGCCATTCGAGCCCTTATCGTACGGTGCAACAGTGACGCGGCGAGTAGTATTTACCGTTGCAAGGGCCAGGGAGGCCAACGAGTTGGTCATGTAGGGACCACGGACTTCGGCATATATTGTGTTTGCATTGGATTGGATACCGGAGGACTGGGCGAGTGTCGATGAGAGAAAATCATTGAGCACCGCAAGCATGTTGACCTTCTCAGAACTAAAAGTCGGGAACGGCAGTTCCTTTGTGATGTAATGGAGTGGTTCGACAGACTTGGACTCTTCTGCCAATGCTTGCCTGAATAGGTCTTCCAGCTGCAAGCTTCCGGCTTTGAGCAGGCCGGTCTTAATTCCGGGTTAGCCAAAAATCCTCTCGATTTCCTTCCAAGTTGTGGGGACATGGATGTGTATGCAGACCATCTGCCCGACCGCTTTCTGGGAGCTTCTCAAGTTAGACTTTTTCAAAGTCCCCATTGCCTCGTTGATCCTCTTGAGAGCAGCAAGATACTCGGTCAATCCAGTCGCCTTGGGTCTATTGAACGGATGAACAAACCGAGTAAGCTATCCATTGTATTGTAAAAAAAAAAAAAAAATTGTAGGGTAAAACAGAAAACATTGCCATCGAATGACAAGCTGCAAGGGAACCCACCCCCGACGAATGACGCCTTCCTCCTGAGAAACGACATCTGCAGGTTGTCGTATCTTATCGATTGCGGCTATGGCATCATCGATATCTGTCAAAAGTGTCCAGTTCATCAGCCTCCGTCATCGTCATCGCGCCGCCCCATAAAGAATTTTTTTTTCCCCATCCCGCCAGCGAATAGAATCTGCTCACTCCCAGCAAGGGCCGTCAGGGACTGTGTCTTGCTGTAAATCGGTTTCACAGCCTGTTCGACATTCTGGGCGCTAGCTGAAAGCTTCTTCAAGCTTAACGAGATCTTGGTAGTGAGATCTGCGGTCTTCGATAGCTTCCTGTGGGGAGGGAGGCAGGTAACGAGAGGTGAACCCTGGGTCAGGAAATGAATTGCTTCTAGAATGCTCCGGGGGGAAGATGGATGGGGTGGGATGAGACTCACGACTCGAGAACCTCGACCTCAGCAGACAGCTCGTCCATCCGAAGGCCGTTCATGATGGACGTCAAGGGGGGTATGTGAAGGGACTTGTGGGGTGGACTGTGGGGGGAGAGAACTACAAAGATTCTGACCCTGGGGGGTGGGTGGGTGTGAACGGGTGAGCGGGTGAGCGGGTGAAAAGCTGTAGGGGGGGTAAACGGTAGTTTAGTTTGGTACGTAGGATAGGTAGCTGTGTTGGGTGGTTTGTTTCCGACGAAGAGAGCGTTGTCGTTGGACCGTCAGTGAGATGTCTCACCCCTGTTTGGTGGTTTCAAGCGTGCAGATCTATCTTACGAGGGGACGCGGCGGGAATTGAGTTCCCCCAACCAAGAACCTTTTTCGCAGTGTTCTAGAAAACGACACACTGCAGGCCAAGTCTAGACCAAGACCCAGTCGGATTCCCCCACGGTTCGGAGCCTCTCAATACCCGGATCTGTCTTCCTTGGAAGGGGAAATAATAACTTTATTCATTGTGTCACTACTACTCTCTCCATGCACCTACACATATGCAGCCTTTGATCTTCAGAACTCGGCAATAGTTGGGGGAATGAGGATAGCTAGCCAGGGAACACCGATTTTCAGTATCTTTATATGAAAATCCTCTCTTCATGCTGGCACAAGCTTATTGCTCAACCCATTGTGTACCTTGGACATGCATCGTCTGGGCCCTCGATAGTCAGGACCCTACTCGTCAGACTCTCCAGGCGCTCGGGCTCTGGGCCATGCCTGGAGAACGAGAGTGAGGTGATGTGGGTCCCAGCCTACCACCAAACAACACACGCAACAAGGGTTTTAGATCTCGAGTCATGGATCTCCTCATCCAAGCTTTTTCCCTTGTCATCTCGCCTAAGAAGGGTCTATGTACTATGCAACAAGAAAAGTAAAAAAAAAAAAAAAAGAAGAAAAAGGGTTCAGCTTACATAGTTTAGTCCATTTCACAAGCTGGTGGTGGGGTTGGTTGCGGGAAAGGGACCTTTCCACAGGCCGGAGTGGCCAGTAGGGAACTAGGATGATTGGAAGCGGGCTAAGGTATAATGACATCAGGGCGCGTGCTCTACCAGTAAGGCGAAACAGAGCCGCACGTTTTTT